CGGGGAAGGTTCTTTTGGGTTTTAGTGAGAAGTACTAAGTTTTCTAGCAATATTGTAAACTGAAATAGATAAAAGTATTAAAAAAGTAAAACCGACAAGTAGAAGTCTTCATACCTATGTACCTAAACGTTAGTGCCAACTTAACTTTTTTTTACTCTTTTTTATGGCAATAAATACTTTTTTATTTATTTATTTAAGTTGAGGCTTACATTACTTTAGATTTAAAGTAAAAAAATGTTCATTTATAGATAATTTTCATCTTATCAACAGCGAAAAATAAATTTATATGGAAATAATATAGGTAGCTACGGCATTTAAATCTAACAAAGCGTGTAATTGAAAGTATATCTTCTTAAGTATAAATTCAAGAAAATAATTATCATTATAAGAATCTTGGATGCTCTATTATCATTATCTTAATTTTTTTAGAATTTTTCATATCATACTTTAAAAGTTAGACTTAAGCATTATGTTTATGACTTCAGTAGCACATAATTTAGAAACTATTGACTTGAATTAAAACAAAATTAAGAAACTATCTCATTTTAAAAAGATCTATCCAAGTTTGTGCATGAAAAAAAAAATCAAATTTTAAGCTCTTTTTATTGAGCTTTTTCCAGGCTATTTTTATTTTAGACAGCCAAAGCTATTACACTGGACAAGATATATTATTAATAGCATCTGCACAAATCTCAATGCTTGAGACAAGTAGTTACTGTTGACCTTATGAAATACAATCTCGATATCTGAGAAATCTGTAGTCGAAGGAGTGTTAAGTACAACTTGAATCACATATAATTATATATAGGTAAACTTGGCTGAAAATAATTTGACCTAATACAATAAATTAAAAAGAAATACGTTAAACTTAGCATCTATATTTATAGTTCTATTAAATATAAACTTTAAATGTAAAATCTATAACAAAATTTTGAGTAATACCCTTTTAATTAAGATCATGATCAAAATTGGAAGCTATAAAATAGTTTAAAATTACGAATAAACCGGAATCACTCATAAAATTAGAATATTATGAAAGTTTCGCATGTTCAAAGATAATAACCAAACACAAAGAAAACGTAGTTATTAAAGAAAAAAACTTTTATATTTTTAGCATTAAGTTTATTATTTCAAGCTTGTAACTTTTAAAGAAAACCTCTAAAGTATAGATGTCATATCTAATAGCCACAATAAAACTTTCTTTGAGCAATTTTTTGCCGCTCCACTTACATTTTTCCTGAGATACATACTTATATTAATATAACTTAATCCATTAATAGCATATCATACTCTTGTACAAAGCACAATTTTTCTGTTTATTTAATTAGTACCATTGACTTCATTGTAGTTATTGAATATTTAATAGTTATTTTTCGCGTAAGGCATCAGAGACCCTCTAACTAGTGCGCACATGGATGCTATCGATCTGCCTATCGCACGTAACAAATAATGTACAAAAATATAATTTCATATCCTGTAATGAAGGTAAATAGCAAAGATTAAAATATTATTACAATATAAATTTATAGATCACTAAAAGTTTGTTATCTCCCTATTTCATTTAGAATGTCCGCCTGCAGGATGTTTAATATTTTAAACACTCACTGTGGTCGCTTGTAAAATACTAGTAGCATCTTTTGATACTAATTGGACGACCAATTAGTTTTATTCTAAAAAATAATTAGTCATGCAATTAGTATCAAATATACATATATAATGGCGACGATAAATCGGCTATCGTTGCATATTGTGATTTTCATATATAATCAAGAGACAAAAAAGGGCTTATAACATCCGTCTCGTAAATGTCCGATGGACAGACATATAACAAAGGACCGCTTTGTTTTCATCATGTAATGAAATAAATCATAACAATTCAGCCCATTTTAACGTTTCACTACTTGGCACGGATCTCCCCTCAATGCAGGATTTATCGAAAGGCATAACACGCCTATAGATAAAAACTTTTTTTTGAAGTCGGTTTTTTTTAAGTTTTTATTTTTCCCTTTTTAATGTAGAAATAGCAGAAGCAAAGTAAGAAGAAAGTACTTTAATAAAATATTCGCTTAAACTGTTAAAGTTAGTTAGATGCCAATTTTTATATGCAGACTGACAAATTAAAATTAGCTTTATTAGTAACACTAAAAATTCTGGCTTTAAAATCCAACACTAAAAATTCTAACATATTGGTGTTGTAAAATCAAACAAAATAAGCCCAAACGCAAAGTATCTCCTATTAGCCGTTGAAGAGTTCCACCTATCCACCTTCTGGCCTTACCATCAGATTAGGTCAACAATACCGAACCACTGTACTATCAACGGAAATAAAAACACTTACAAGATTTCTAGTCAATATGACAATTAAAAGTAGGTTATATTCATTATTAGGTATTTTTCCACCCTTATGTGTGGTATTTTTTTTTCAAACAAAATAAAAATTGTCCAAATCGGTTAATAAATGACGGAGTTCTGAGGTAACAAACATAAAAAAAACATACAGCCGAATTGAGAACCTCCACCTTTTTGAAGAAGTCGGTTGAAAACTAGTTATGTTTTTTTAGACATGCACGTTTCCTTACAATGTTTTCGTTCAATGTATTACCAAGGGAACGCGAAGATTTAACTTGGTTCACTTGGGTTTTTTTTTGTTTTTATGGTTACCATAATGTCTGCCTGGTTGCACGACCAACGACACGATATAGACCACGACGTGGATATAGACCTGTCTCTACTCCTAAAATATAAACTAAATACATAATAGGTATAAAACATATCTACTTTTAGAGTGAATTTAAAAACAACTAAATCACGTCAACCCTAGTTTCCTAACAAAATTAACAATGCTAAACACACTATTCCCGCAAAGGCCAATAGAACATTATAGAATTAAATTTACAATTCAAATATTATAGGTCCAAACTACGGTACAGATAGAGCGATTTGCCATCCTACAAACTACTCTGTTCGATCACAACAATGCACAGTTTAACAGTATTATTCCTAAACTAGCGACTCACCCTTGCTCCGCTCGGGTTCGTCACTAGTTAAGTTTTAACGTTTAGTGTATATTTCTCAGAGATGAGATATTTTCCCACAGTAAAAATTATCCTTTATGTTGCCCCAATTACCAGCTACCATCATACCAAATTTCATCAAAATCCTTCCAGTGGGTTTTCCGTGACGCGGTAACAGATAGACAGACAGACAAAAATTCAAAAACTATAGATTTGGCCTCTGTATCGATAGTAATGACTATTTCAATAAGATTTTCCAAAAAATATTTAATGTACAGATTCGCCTTAGAATTTTATTATATTATCTAATATTTTAAATTTTCATGTCACAATGTTAGTTACCGTACTCCTCCGAAACGGCTTTACCGATTTTTATCAAATTTTATATGCGTATTCAGTAGGTCTGAGAAACGGCTACTATCTATTTTCCATACCCGTAAGTGATAAGGGTGGCCCACGTTAGGGACGAACCCGAGCGGAGCGAGGGTGAGTCGCTAGTGTAGGTATAAAATTAGAAAACATTTGACAGAAAATGGAAATATACTTTATTTTGCTTATTTTATTTTTAATTCGCTTTATTCAATAGAAATTGTTGTTACAAATTATACTGTGGGAGTCATTTTAAGTAGTTTTGATGCCTAAACTGTACATGATATAGAGGAATCCTTTATTTCAACTTTTATTTCGTAGTATGTATGTATGTAGGAACATAATACGAAATTCTGAACGTTGTATGCAAAGTAAAAATAATATATTTTATTTATATTTTAAGTTCAAATAGATTTCAATAAACAGCATATTCATAGTTTCAATTATAATTTTCAAACGAACTGAAATATTTAAGTACAAAGTAAAATTTGATATCTTTACAAGGTCTCGAAAATAAAGTATTAAACGATTGAAATAAAAATCGCTCATTGACAGATATTGTATTGCAGTCAAATGATGAAAAACAAAAAATTCGTATCTTTTAGACAAATGAAAAATTAACTCGTGCATGAGATTTATACTTAAATCAAAAAGCCGACACTGTAACAGGCGTATGAAATATGAGATTGAAATAACAAAGGACGGCTGGTGGTTAGCACATTTTGTAATTAAATATCCACGTATTATGGATACTTAAACTAAGTTTTAGATAGCTAATGAAATTTGTAAAATTTACATTTTTATAAAAAGAGTTTCATCATCTATTTATACATATAATAAAATATAACTAAGCTGAATCTGTACATTAAGTATTTTTTTGGAAAATCTTGTTGAAATAGTAATTATTATTGATACAGAGGCCGAATCTATAGTTTTTAGAATTTTTGTCTGTGTCTGTTACCGCATCGCGACGTAACTACTGTATAGATTTTAATGAAATTTGGTATGGTGATAGCTGGTTATTCGGGACAACATATAGGATACTTCTTAATGCGGGAAAATATTTAATCTTTGAGAAATGTTAAAACGTAAGTAGGGACGAACCCGAGCGAAGCGAGGGTGAGTATCTAGTTTTATACAAAACTATGAGATAGATAATGAGCACGTATCGCTTAACTTATTAGGGCGATTTTTGCATTTTGTGCAGGAATTGAATTCGTGACTTCCATCCAATGCCAAAGTTACATTTTTGATTTTTAATGCCTACAGTTTCATACTTTATTGTATTTTTAATAATTTAATTAGACCAAAATTACCAAGGGCAACCTTTGCTTTATTGAAGAGCTGTTAACATATTCTGACATTAATTACTTCTTGTTATTAGACTTACTTCAAAATGATTAAAACAAGTTTGAGACGTTTAGGCGTCATGCGTTTAAATAGATAGAAATATAAAAATTCTATTAACATTTTATTGAATATCTATAACATCCTACACATTCACCAAATACTATTTTTAGACATACATATATACGTATTTAATGTATAATTTAATTCGTATTATATACGTGTTTTATTCTAGTTTGATATAGTATAAATTTGGTTTTCTTTGTTTAGGTGTTCGCGGTCTACATAACCTGGAGATTAATGTACCAAGCGCTGTTTTAATAGGTGAAACTGTAACCCTTGAGTGCACATGGCAATTAGAAGACGAAGAAGCTCTATATAGTGTAAAGTGGTACAGGGGGCGAGAAGAATTCTACAGATATATACCAAAAGAATTGCCGCACACACGAGTTTTTCCTTTACCAGGAATCGAGGTCGACGTAAGTAATTAAGGAACCTACTATATTTGTATTGGAACTAAATTAGTACTTTTACACTATAATTTATTATTATTTTAGTTTCACTACTTTAATTATCTTTACAATTACAACATTTCATTTAATAATGCCAAATTTACGAACGTTTATTGCAATTTAGTCAGTGAAATTCATTAATAATTCGTTCAGAACTCTACCATACAGAATTCAATTATTTATTTAATTTTAATCGTTATATTACAATTTTAAATCAATTTCGTGTGACATGTATCGTAAATACAATTATGTTGCAGTAAAAAATGAAATTGTAGCTATGGTACAAAAGTATAATTAAGATATATTTGCAATGTGATAAAATATAACAAAGAGGACATTAAAGTAATAAATTACCAGATATCCCGGTCCGGAGCAAGGCGGGTAGTGTTGCAAGAGGCGACGCCGGCCATGGCGGGTCGTTTCCGTTGCGAGGTGTCCGCCGACGCTCCCACCTTTCATACGGAAATACGCTCCGCACCGCTAGATGTAGTCGGTAAGCTAAAATAAAAGACAATTAACTTGCAACACAGATATATTATTTTTCACTATTTTACCGCGTCTATTCCAGTCATTTGTCATATTTAGTGCCACTGTTATAAATCGTTATAATATTTGCCAATACTTTTTGTTATTGTACTGTAGAGCTTTTTGAATTATTAAGTGATGTAAATTTTCTATAAGGCTTTGCAGATACTTATGATAGGATTTTATTAGTGAGTGCGATCTGCGCTGTGTATATTTCTACTTCCTATTTAGACTACAACTACTAAATGAGGCAGCTTTTTATAAATTTCAGGTGAGATTAAGCTCTAGATTGGTATGGAAATACTCGATTTACAGTTAAGCTTAGCAATGTTTTTAGTTAGTTGCCTGACTTTATTTTGATAGTAAAGACTTGCCTAGCCGTTCTTGAGTGATTCACTTAAAGGTCAAAGTTAAGACCTGTGTTTATTTATCTCTTTTTCCTAAGGTTATCAGAGAAGGTGAACAGGAGTGCATGGTGGGTGAAGCCCCGGCTTTATATATTTATATACATAAAATTGACTATAGAAGCTGCGTCATATAGATTTTTGAAAATACAACGCAACCTAGTTTATATTCCTGAGGTCAAACTTGTTAATTTTAGCTTGAAATTTACTACATTATACACATTATAGTAATACAAAGGTTTTTAAGCAACACACATTTAGTCTTTTAAATAGAAAAATTACCATTGAATGATTAAATTAGGTAGTGAATATTAGGTAAAGATAATAATCGTGTATGAAAAAGTAATCATATACAATAAGCCAAAATTCTATACTGCTAACTTAATGTGTAAATATATCGTCGCCTTAGTGCAAACTACCATATGTACAAACTACCAATACTTGTTGTTGTTTTTTCCTCTATTTTGAAAACAAATATTATATATCATATAGACAAAATATATTTTTTTAAGTAAAATGTGCATTTTATACTAATAGAATTGACGTTTAAAAGTCAATAATTCTGTAATAAAAGCCTTTCGGTAAATTTGGTCATTTAGACTGCACTGAGACTACGATATAAAGTTGGTTTCGACAATAAATACATACTTTTGTTTAGTACTATGCCCTCAGGCTTATTAGACCTTCACATATTATATGTACTCGAACGAAGTATTATATAACGTATTATATAACATTCCTTTTATATATTAATGCGAGTTTTATTTACACAATTAATATTAAAGTCACCAAACCGCAAATAGTATTACAAATGTTAGAAATACGTGAGCACTAGAATTGTAGAAACATCGCATGCCAAGATATGCTTGCTCCACAAAACGTCCCTCGTGTGCGACATAACTACGTTTCACATATATTTACTTTGAAACGAGAGTAACAAAAAATAAATAGCAATACTTAAAGTAAGAAAAATATTGCAAAATAAATAAACAGTACTGAATCACAAGTAAATTACAGATATGATTGTAAATAACAAATAATGCTAACCTTTATGTCTGTTAGAACTTTGAGAGTTTCACCTTTATTTTTTTAAAGACCGATTTCGTACGACTTTTTATAAGTTACTGCAAACTATTGCCTAAAATTAAGCTAAAGTGCAATGCTTGCATTCACTTTTTGTGAGAACACATTTCGCTAGCTGAAAGTATCAAGATATTTTATATTAATGTAATTATACATAGGTACGTATATGTAAAAAAAATAAAAAATAAATAAAAATAGTTTTTATTTCTTAATCATCTTTACATTTTGTGTTCGAGTCTTCCCTGTAAGTAATCCGAGGATACTTGTGTTGGTAATGGCCCGCTTCTTCCCATATGCATACTCTATGATTAAGTTAGGTGAAAAACAAAACTAAAAATATGTATATCAGACTATGCCCCTAACAATGTTGCTTGTAGTACAATCAACCTCTTTCGGCTTCATCCGATTACTATTTTCGAAGTTATACTTCTTTTGGGCATATTTGAAGAAAATTATGAAAGTAAAATTTTTACGATGCGCACACACCGACAGCCAAAACATGATGAAGTTTTTAGTGACCTTTTACAAACAGAGAGTTGTGACATACAGGACAATATCTTTAGTTATTTTTGTTATTTTCCAAAGAAGTATAACTTCTTACGTGCATAAGTCACACACACGTTTTTTTTTATATTACATTTGTCGATAACAGAATGAATTTGGAAAACGTCAAAAACCGTCAAAAACATCAAAGAACTCTAGCCTTCTAAGATTCCACGGGAACCACTTGATCGACCGATACCGGAAATAGCTTCCTTTCTTTTTCACGCCGCTAAGCTAAGTGCTAAGTTTAAGTAAGTAAAACTGTCAAGAGAGGGTATATTTAAACTTGTGGCGAATACCACGGGCTGATAATAATAATAATTCGCACGCATGGCAGTTTGTGGCGAACTGTTGGTGAGTGTCTCTCTCTGAATCTTTTAAGTAGTATCTCGTGTTGGACTTGTCCCCATGCAAACCTTCCAAAGGACCGGGCTCTCTCGAGCGCGTGAAATCCTAAGAGATATAATAATAATAATGCAACGTTTATACTCACTTTAACATAAAATAATAATAAAATTTCACGACACGTTTGGCTCAGTGTGTAGCGACCCTAGTTGCTGTGCCAGCGGTCGCGGGTTCAAGTACCGCCGGGGGCGTTCATTGTGTGATGAGCATCAATGTTTGTACTCCAGTCATGGGTGTTTATATTTATAATATGTATGTATTTAAAGTGTATACATGTGTAGTGTATCAACTATCTGGTATCCATAACACAAGCCTCGTAGCTTACCATAGAACTAGATGGTGATGTGTATTAATGTCCCAACATATTTATATTTATTTAATTTAATCTTTTTACTGTCCCATTGCTGAGCACCGGACTTTCAATGCAGGAGGTTTTAGATCATAGTCTACTATGTCTACGCTGGGCAAATATATGTTGGCGAACTTCACAAGTGTTTTAAACACTATATAGTTTTCTCAGACATGCAGATTTCCTCAAGAGGTTCTCGTATTATAAAATGGAAATAACGTTAGAAATGAGATTCGTACATGAAAATCTCAGAGGTGCAACCCCGATCTTTGAACTCGCTTTATCCTGTTTCCAAAGCGAGTTTAGATTACGTATTTCACACATCTCTATACTTATTACATCTGTATACATCTACTTTTGGTAAAAAAATCGTAATTGGCAGTAGGTAGTTTCTTTATTTCCTATTAGTAAATAATTATTTTTGATAAATATTATTTCTAACTTAATCTGTGGCATAAAGCGAAAAACCAATGACAATTATTGATATTTTTATATCTATCCGAAACCGGAAATAGTTTAAACATACATAATGTTCATATGCATACATACATAAGGCGATACCTTGTAACATATGTTAAGTACATACATATATAATTATATACGTCTAATCAATTAGCGAGCTTAAGATATATGCTATATACATATGTTGTAGAGCGCAGATGCTACCATTAATGAAGACAATACCCGCTACGGTAGCTTTAGGAAAATGTGAATGTTCCGTGTGCCAAGATATAGTATCTAGTGCTCACAGTTATTGGCGTGGTTACAATTTTTAGTAGCAGTCGTAAATTTAATACGTTGTCTGTACCTATGCATGTAGGTATCTTATATTATTATATCTGCAAAGTCGAGCTAAATCGACCTACTAAGACGAATAAAAGTTTGTGTGTGTTATGTGTGTACATTTGTTACTCCTTTTCGCTGAAATTGGTAGATAGGGATAGGCACATAAGGATGCACTAAAGCGAATCGAGTGTAAGTAGTTAGAAATAAAAAATAATTTGCCATAGTAAAATTTTTGTAAAATCCAAATTCTCCAGTAAAAATCTTAGTTGATATTTTTACTGGTCATTTTATTGTTCTAAGCTTCTTTCAACAGCATTATTCCACACAGGTTAAATTATTTTCTACTAGAAATAGCTGAGAGTCAATTCATGGCGTACATATCTGCAGCGATTGTTTATTCCATCTAGATGCCGAGCAATGTAAAAGGAATGTAAACGGACGTGCCGAACATAGGTTTGCTCTGCATTAGTTAGCCGTTGCAATAAAATTCACCTGCCAATATAAATCTATTGCATAATGCCAAATCAATAAAATGTAAAAGTATATGTTAGCAATTTTGCACTGTAGAATATTTTAGGAAACCTCTATTAAAATACCGAGGTAAAATTGCACAGTGATTTTAAATATCTAGTTTATATGTAGTTTTAGAACACTTATTATAATACTAGCATTGCCCGCGCTTCCGCCCACGTTCAGAGGCAGTTTTTGTATTTTTTCTCAGAAATGAGATATTTTCCCGCGGTTGACCCGGATAACCAGTTATCATTACACCAAATTTCATGAAAATCCCTCCAGTGGTTTTTTTGTGCTGCGGTAACAGATAGACAGACAGACAAAAATTCTAAAAATTATAGATTCGGCCTCTGTATCGATAATAATGTCTTTTTCAATAAGATTTTCCAAAAAATATTAAATGTACAGATTCGGCTCAGTTACAATTTTATTATATGTATAGATTATAAAACAATATTATGTGACATATTTAAAACTTGTGTTTGGCGGCGAATCATCTCATAATAGGTATATCGATAAAATTAGCCTATGTATGTATTAATTTAGGAAAGAAGCTATTTCCAATCTGAATTTTGAACTCAAATAAATCGAATACAGCGTGGTGAAGATGGTGAAGTATAACTAATACACTCACTTGCTTAGAAACGTTCACGTATAATATTAGGGTGATCGAATTGTTATAACGTCTTATGCATATACATACACAGGTATAGCGCGTACATTTTGGCATCCAAGTCTATAACTCTATTTTAGATGATTTTTCTGCCATTTTTTGAACTATATATGGTAAATAAAGAAAATCAAAGCGGCACAAATTAAAATAATATAAAGTAACAATAACATTCCTCCATTTACTTGAAGTTTAGATAATTATCGTGGTTAAAGCAACCGCTTATTAGGATACTTTATTTGACTAGGCTATTTCAAAGTTTCCTATTACCAAGTTTAAGCTGACCGTATTGGCTCTTAAAATCCGACGAAGATCGATGTTTTCATTATGTAACTCTCTATCCCTAGATATGCTGCTTAAAACCAAGTTAGACGTTTCGTTTGATAGATTAGCTTGGCAAACGTTATAAGGATAGTTCATACTAAATTTACATATTTGTTGAAGCAACAATAGACTCTTATGAGGATAATTTTGAGTCGGACGCTTCTGGCCTATATGCGTTGTTATACTTCATTTTAATTATTTTTCCCGTTGATTAAATTTGTTTCAGGATTAAAAATAAAGGTTTCATAGGGACCACCTGTATATGTGATTGTACAGTGTTGATTAAACGGTAACAGGGTTACTGCGATGAGAAATGTAGCAATAGGAGGTTTTAAAATCCGACATGAAATTAAAGCATTAAAATTAGTATAAAATATTTGGATAAACGTGTGTTCTTTTCATATTTTTCGTGTTATTTTGACGTTAAAATAACAACGAGTGCGTAGGTATCTAATTTTCTTTTAAATTACTTAAATTATAAGTATTTATTTTTTAGTTTCTGTTTATAATGAACTCCTGTAATGGTCTTTATATAATCTTTATATAACCAAACTTTTAAATAGCAGTTAAATTTAATTTAACTTGATCATCCTTCATAGAGTCGCCAGAATGGGGTCCTAAGCTGGTGTCAGATCGGTCGTGGTACGGCGTAGGATCGACGCTACGGGCTACTTGTGCTTCGCCGCCCGCACATCCACCTGCTAACCTCACATTTGCACTAAACGGTCAAGAGGTAAGTTATTTTTATTATTGAAAATACAAAATGAAAAATTTACATTGGACATATTTGAGTACTTTTTTCATGTACCTAATACATTTTTAATATAACAATTTGTATTTGAATTTATTTATGCGTATTCATTATATAGTAGAATTTGTTTAAAGTATCTCTTAGTAATTTAATACTTTTTTTTATAAAAAAGGTACATTTATGTAATAATAATAATAATATTTATATTGTAATCACTTAGTATTCAGTATGAATCAAAATGCTATGAATATTGCGTAAGTTTAACTATTCTCAACAATAACAACTTTATTATATTATGGCCATAACATGTTCTTATTTTACATATATACATATGTATGTATGTATGTATGTACATTACAATGATATACATATAATATGCTTGATCAATAAATATGTAGGTACCTACATATATATAAAAATAATAGTTCTGTGAGGCGTAGCGTGTAAGGTTTCCATTAAGGCGTCAATTAAGTAAAAACTAACATTTATGTTACATAAGTGTACACACCATATACAAACAACTAATAGTGAATAGTCAATACAAAATTACAATGTACTATGGAAATGTTGATATGTTTATTTTTAAATTCTTATATTGTAAATTTTCTGTAGTTTAAATCCCGTGCATTAATATAGAAAACGGCACGATACAGGCTTGTTGAACAAGCGATACGTATTTTCCTATTTCGCTTTGACGGCACCGTAGTTTTTGCCGCTGGTCACTACGTAGTCGAGTCATTAATCACGGAGCAGCCCCGAGCGACATTAGCTTTTAGCACAAACCATTATCTAAGATAACAATTTGTTCTGCAAATAATCTATTGTACCGGAAGTCATCATTTCCTAATTCACTTATATCTCATCCTAGATTGACATGGAGTCGTTCGTGCACGAGTTACCCGACTGGTTTAAATGGGACCCACCGCCGAAATTTGAAACGACAACGCCAGAAATGCCCGAGGATGATACCAATTTCAACATATTTCATGACGAAAATAATATTCAGTATTTGGATGAAACTTACATAAACCTTCATAAAGAGGAAATAAGGCGACCTCAAAAGGAAGATATGAAGCTTGTGTTCGAGAGGTCGGGTCCTGACAATAGACTGCCTTCGGTAGCCGAAGTTTTATTTGTTGTTCGCCACGAAGCATTCGAACGAGGTAGTCTAAGGTTGACCTGCATAGCAAGTATATACAACCTGTATGCGGCACGCGCGGAACTAATTTTCGATATGGAGCAACCCGAAGTTGCTTCAGTGCTGGGCGTCCGTAATAGTGCTATAATAGGTGAGTGCTATTGAATTGAGCAAACTTTGCGGTGTCAATTTATTCTACGTTCATGCTAACGTAATGGAATCAACAAATTTATAAATTACAAACTGTTTCATAGTTTCAAGAGAGTTAAATGAGTTTATTATGTTATATATTAATTCATATATAATATTTGATAATTTTGTTGCAGGTTCATATAGTGCTTGGAGGTGTTTTATACTAACTTTAATATCATTACTTTTATATAATATTCGGTAGTTATTTAACTTATTCGTTTATTTTGATTAATATAAGTACAAAAATGTAAAGTTATTAGGAAGAAGTAACCACGTACAGTTCTCACGATGTACAAACTCATGTAACATATCCATTCAAATTGTTTTTGTTATTGCCAAAGAATATTTCTATAAAACATAAAAATCTGTAAATAATATACTAGGCGTAGGTCAAAATGGCCAAAATAGTTTAGTGAATGGAAATTAAATAATATCTGTATAATATATATTAAATTGTATGTACATATAGTTTATACGTTACTGTAAAAGTTGGAATTTTACTTTAGAAAGTTCTAGTAAATTCAGATTGAATACGGCTAAAATATAGCGGATGAGTAAAATATAATCAAACTGCAATCTGTATATTAATTAATTTATTATTTGTAGGCAAATTGTAGTATTTATCGTTTCATTTTTATTATTTTACTATCAAATAAAAGTATTTTTATGGTCATTGCCATAATATTTAATGTATTATTTAAAATAATGAAGAAAAATTGCTTATAAATTCATAGTTTAAATGGAGTAGAATTATATTATGCAAATGAAATAGCAGTTAAAAATGAGTGCAATAACTTACATAAGTGCTGTAGACTCCATCTCATATGACATATTATCAAATGAAATAAATATATTAAATTTCTCTTACACAATATAGTTACACTTAAGCCATAGACAGATATTTATGCCATTTAAAATTATACCTGACTATTTAAAATCCATACTTAATATTATAAATGTGAAAGTGTGTTTGTTTATTTGTTTGTTTGTCTGTCCTTCTTTTACGTCGAAACGAACTGAAGGATTGGCGTGATTTTTTGTGTGGAGATAGTTGCAGAGCTGGAGAGTGACATAGGCTACTTTTACCGCGGGAATTATTTAATTCCCACGGGAAAACACATTATAATACAACCCAAAAAAATATTTATGATCAGAATTACATGAAACTTGGTATTAATGCTCTTCAATAACATTAAATAAATACATGTTTTAGAAATTCATCCTATAAGAGTGATGAAAGTTTATATGGAACTATCTTTTTAGAGATTATGTAGTTTTAGCGCGAGCGAAGCCGCGGGTTCTGCTAGTATTTTATAAAATAATAATAAAATTAGTTCTTGTCTACACTTTAATTAAAACACATTCAAACTTCGAAATGCGATAAGAATGAGTTGCATTAAAAAATCACGTATATTGCAAAATGTCTAAAATAATGAGTAAAAAATATACTACGCGTATCTGAAAATACTAATTCTAACTTTTACAGTAACATTTAAAATAAATAGGTGCCTAAGTAATGTGATGTATGATTTAGAATGGAACATTCATTTATGAAAATGTTATTTCTGAAAATATTATATCTGATCTATTATCATTAAAACATATGCTTACGTTGACTTATTATAATATTTATTAGGTTATCTATTTTATAAATGTAACCTTGTCAAAGACTGATTACTTATTTATGAATTCAAATGTTTGGAGCGTTGAGTTTTGTTTATGGACATTTACAAAAATAGCATATTTATGTCACTACGAAATATCTATTTTGCCTTTTTTTTATAATAATCTGAAAATATTTGCCTGAATTTATATGAAAAATCATCTGGTTATTTACGATCGAACATAGAGAAAATGTAGACTAATTATATTCACACGTCAGGAATAGCGGAAGCAGTTTGTCCCAACTTTGAAAGTTTCATTATTCTACATTTGTTAAACTATACTCACGAAAAAGTAGACCGCTTTGTTCTGTCAAATAATATAAAAACAAATAAGAGAATATTTCTATAAATATATCTTTAAATTTTTTGAAATTCTAATAAAAAATAAATTCTTAAATAAAATGTACAGTATTTATGTACATATATTATGTATATCATAAGGAACTTTATGATATAACCTCGACCCACCAGTATGCTGTAACGGTACTACTGATGTCATTAATGTCTATTATATTTAAATGTACATAAAATCTCTGTATAAAATATGAAATCATTGAAATTAATGAAAATAGAATAAAGTGTTGATATTTGACAGTATTTAATTTTATTTTACCTGCTACTTTATTTAAATCTAATACATAATATATAACAAATTCGTGTCACAGTGTTTGTGGTTGCACTCCTCTGAAACGGCTCGACCGATTTTAATGAATTTTCTATTTGTATATTTGGTATGTATGAGAATAGGTCGTAAAGTATTTTTCACCAACTTAACCCCCCCCCCCCCCCCACTCCTCCCCCCCACCCCTCCTTTTAAATTGCGATTTTAGTATCTTTGTATGAACAAACATGATGCATAGGCCTCTCAAAATGTATATTTTTATTAATATTTTTTAGCGGAATCCGTCTATATAATTCTTTTGTCTATGGCTTAAATGAATTAACTCAGTTTTATTACACTTTCTAATAGAGTTTGCTAAATGCTAATAAAATGCATTGCCGGTTTGAATTTTAAATCGTAGTTTTTTTGTTGTTTTAATTAAATTATAAAACATTTGTAATATTCTAAATGTAATGTGAAACAGCAGTGTACACGCTCTGCGGCAAGATGGACCGACGATTTGAAAAAGGTGGCAGGTACGGGAGGGATACGGGCTGCTGAAGAACAGGATGGTTGGCGTTCTATGGGGGGATGCTTTCGTCCAACAGTTCGGCGATAAACAGAAAAAAAATTTTGAAATGTCGAAGCAACTAAACGCGATTTTACCATAGAAATAGTATACGAAGAAGAAAGTAGTATATGTCAAGGTACTTGATACTTTTTTACATCCTTACATTTTTAAATTATAGAGGATATTGGTTTATTTAAAAAAAAAAACTAAAAATACCCTTCTTTTCTTCTTCTGAGCTTCTGTTATGTAAAACAATATTTCGCATTTTGTAGAAATTTAATGTTGAGATTTTCGAATATGAGTATAAAATTTGAATGCTTTACATAATTTCGTTATTTCTAATATATTATCACAGAGTTATTATAATACTAGTGTGTATTGGTTAATAATAATAATGTTTGTTTATCAAACCAAACAGCTTGAAACCTCGAGAAACACACATAAATAACAAAAAAAATCATAGTGCTTACCCTTAATTCCTTTAAACAACAATTTGAGAACGATGTAACTTATTGATTAAAAAAATATTTTCGCTTCGTGTCGTTTTTACCAATCATTTCCATCAACTTGACTAGTCAAAATGATTGATTACTCAAGAGGGAATAAGCAATTACTTTATAGGAGCTTAAATAAATAAAAAGAATGCTGTCCTTCTGACCGATTTCGGTCACGGCGACCTATCTCAATCAGAATAGCTAACGGCGCATTAAATTTATATGAGCAAACACAAGAGCACTCTCTATTCTTTTTAGTCATAAGCTCAAATTTCGACACGTCCGGTGAGAGGTCAGGCGCAAGACTGACGGCTTTACGTGCTCTCCGAGACACGGGGGTGTAAAATCGCAGAGTTCCCAACTTTGGGCTTAGAATATTTTTTGGGCTAACAGAAAACCAAATGTTATATATATATATATATATATATATATATATATATATATATATATATATATATATCTATATATATTATACTTCGCCCGATCCGGTTCTCGAATTCAGTGTTGGATCTATAGCGGTACGAGTACATTCGGGCTGTCTAGTACTTTAGTTTACTTTAGTTTAACATATTGATCTCAGCGAGGAAGTTAAAGTAAATTATGTGCAAAAGTATAATATACAATCATTTATTTACATGAACGTAAGTTTAGACATTATACTTACCTACATGAAGCGTTTAGCAACGTTTTAGAGATTATAACACAGTATAGACATAGAGACAAATTTTATTCAAGTATTGAATGAAAATACGTACCTACTCACATATTTTACTTTACATCTAAATCTAAAAAGTTTATTCGAATTAATTAACTATAAGCATTTAAAGAAATTAGCTCTGGAAAAAGTATTACGTAAATATATACCTACTAGCATTGCCCGCGGCTCCGCCCGCGTTCAGATGACCACAAACCAAATTCTTAGGTTTTACATATTAATATACTCGTACATTGCAGTTTTTGCCTCAGAAATTAGACATTTTCCCAAAGTATCCTATATGTTGATCCGGATAACCAGCTATCATCATACCAAATTTCATCAATATCCCTCCAGTAACTTTTCTGTGATGCGGTAACAGACAGACAAACAGACAAAAATTCTAAAAACTATAGATTCGGCCTCTATATCGATAATAATGTTTATTTCAATAAGATTTTCCAAAAAATATTTAATGTACAGATTCGGTTTAGTTACAATTTTATTATATGTATAGATAGATTTGTTTATTGTTAAGCTCGACGTACAACTCGCTTAGGAAACTAATTCGTCACATCTAATTCGACACTAAATAATCTAATTTGTAGAATATAAGTGCTCAATAATGTTCTTTTCCGTAAGGATAATATCTGGATTTTCTGTTTATTGTGGAGTTGACCTCCGGCATGATTGATTGCGGCTTATATGGAACTGTTCCAAAATAATATTACTTACGATATTATTTAAGCAATAGCAAGCATTACCTGCGGTTGCATTTGCTGTATTTCCACTTATTTTACACTCTGCAAATGATCGTGATTCTTTATTGTTTTATATTTTATTGTTTTATATAAGGCTGTATAGTGAAACTCAAGCTCTATACTCCTCTATACTCTACTTAATCGATTAGTGAAATAATAAAATGATAGTAATATAGATATAATAAGGATTTCATAATTTATTTGTTAGCACATAATATCGATATAATACCTACAGAAAACACTTTGCGCGTGGTGTTTCACCGATTACAACTGTGTATAATGGAACGGAATATAAGTATGTACTGGAAGCGGCTTTATATATAAACTAGGGTTCGTCCCGAGCTTGCTTCTTAATACAAACTTTCATCCCCATTTCACCCCCTAAAGGAATGACTTCCGAGGTAAAAGTATCCT